ATCCATTTAAATACGGATTTGATCGGTTTAGGACCACAGATTCACATAATTAAATAACCAAAATATATTTATAACACTTTAATTTTATAAAAATATAAACAGCGCTATATTAGTTCCACAATAGCAACATATTTTTCTATAATAGCGATATACTGTTCTAAAATTTAAACAACTATAAGAAAATTGGTTTCACTACAAGTATTTAAACCATTACAAATTAAAACTAAAAACCAACAAACAAAAGTAATAAAAGAAGATATTATATGGTTTTAGGTTTGAATTTAGATTTTATATAGAATTAAGAGAAGATACTATGGGGGATGATGTATAATAAAAATATAAGCTATTTGTATACGGTTCGGATCGGTTCCAATCCGGAACCGTGGGGTTTAATCCGGAACCAATCCGTAGACTACGGATTTTTAATTCTTCAATCCGGAACCGAACCGCGGATTCAAAAAATCAATCCAAACCTATCGGATTGGACTGGACTGGATCGGATTACGAATTTCACGGATCGCTTGCTCAGCCCTACTTACCGACTTCAGGACATGGAAGGCCGAGACCTCCCCCATCCGTGGAACACCGAACACTTGAAGCGTTATTTTCAATAAATCCCTATTTTTGTATGGATCAGTTACTATACTTTCGTTTTTGGCAATCTACACACTTGAATGTTCTTCTTCTTCTCTCACATGATGTAAATTTCTGATCAAATGGGCTACACTTTACACGATAACAATTTTATATCTCAATTATCTGTGTGGTACCTCAATAACATCTTGATTGCAGTACTCAGTTACAAGCCTCAGTCATACTGAGCATGAAGAGCTTAGCCAGACTGAGTCACTTAAAGCCTCAGCCAGACTGAGCATGAAGAGCTCAGCCAGACTGAGTCACTTAAAGCCTCAGCCAGATTGAACATGAAGAGCTCAGCCAGATTGCACATGAAGAGCTCAGCCAGACTGAGTCACTTAAAGCCTCAGCCAGATTGAACATGAAGAGCTCAGCCAGATTGCACATGAAGAGCTCAGCCAGACTGAGTCACTTAAAGCCTCAGCCAGATTGAACATGAAGAGCTCAGCCAGATTGCACATGAAGAGCTCAGCCAGACTGAGTCACTTAAAGCCTCAGCCAGACTGAGCATGACAAGCCTCTGCTAGACTGAGCATGAAGAGCTCAGTCAGACTGAGTCTCTTAAAGCCTTAGCCAGACTGAGCGTGAACAGCCTCAGCCAGACTGAGCATGACAAGCCTCTGCTAGACTGAGCATGAAGAGCTCAGTCAGACTGAGTCTCTTAAAGCCTTAGCCAGACTGAGCGTGAACAGCCTCAGCCAGACTGAGCATGACAAGCCTCTGCTAGACTGAGCATGAAGAGCTCAGTCAGACTGAGTCTCTTAAAGCCTTAGCCAGACTGAGCGTGAACAGCCTCAGCCAGACTGAGCATGACAAGCCTCTGCTAGACTGAGCATGAAGAGCTCAGTCAGACTGAGTCTCTTAAAGCCTTAGCCAGACTGAGCGTGAACAGCCTCAGCCAGACTGAGCATGACAAGCCTCTGCTAGACTGAGCATGAAGAGCTCAGTCAGACTGAGTCTCTTAAAGCCTTAGCCAGACTGAGCGTGAACAGCCTCAGCCAGACTGAGCATGACAAGCCTCTGCTAGACTGAGCATGAAGAGCTCAGTCAGACTGAGTCTCTTAAAGCCTTAGCCAGACTGAGCGTGAACAGCCTCAGCCAGACTGAGCATGACAAGCCTCTGCTAGACTGAGCATGAAGAGCTCAGTCAGACTGAGTCTCTTAAAGCCTTAGCCAGACTAAAAAAAAAAAAAACAACAACAACAACAACAACACTCAAAACACCAAGAAAAATTCCATTTATAAGCAAAATGCCAAAATTTACATTTCATCAATCTTCCTCGCTCGAAGCAAGATCTTCTTCGTTCACACCTTCGTCTAAAGGGGTCTGGGCCACGTCGTCTTCTTTTATTCTAACAATGTTGAAGTCCAAGTCTGGGATCAGTTCTTCTGCTTTGCGTTTGAACATCTTCCAGCCGCTGTCCTAGAACTTGGTCATCTCATGTTTGTAGAAGTCTGACCGCTGGAAGCTCTGGATCACTTCTTCTTCACTCCTGCTCCCAGTGGTCGCTCCCGACGGGCCAGCCCCCCCAGACCCCTCTCTTGCCAAGTTGCGGGCGATCGCGACATCGATAGCCATCTGGAAGTCAGCAGACCCCTTGAACTGCTCTACTGCTGCGACGCATAAGTCGGGGTATGCTGCCTTCTCAGAGGCTGACTTGGTCTTTTCTTTCTCCAACTCCTTCTCCAGCCCCGCCTTCTCTGCCGTTGCCTTGACGCGCTCGTCTGCCAGATCCCGCTCCAACTCAACGATCTTCAGGACTGCTTTTTCCTTTTCTTTGACCCAATGAGCACGCAGATCTTCATTGCTGGTCATGGCCTCTTCAAACCGATCGTTGGCGACAGTGTAGGCTTTTTGGGCATCTTCCAGTTTCTGCCCCACCGTTCGCCGTTGCAAAAAACCATTTCGGCCTCCATCCCTTTACCGACGATGAAAGACCCTCCACCAACCCTCGCCCCGCCATCGCTTGTAGAGTGACCCAAGTCTCCTGCTGACCGGAAGCCTTGTAACAGGAGAAGAACTCCTCTACTGTCATTGCCGCCCCTCCGGTCGCCTGAAGCCAGGCACTCGCGCAGGCTATTACTATCTTCCAAGCGTTCGGCATCAGCTGCCCTGGCGCCGCCTCTAACTTGTACAACACATCTACTACCACTTGGAGAAGAGGTAGCCTCAAACCTCCTTGTAATGCCTCATCGTACAAGCTGAACTCACCCGACCGCGCGTCTGACACCCTTTCCTTGGATGTGGACAGTCTTAGCCTTATCTCCGAGGGAATTTGATACTTCTTCCTTATTCCCTCCAACTCCTCTGCTGTTAGTACGGACCCATCGGGTTTGGTGTGCCAATGGTCTGGCTCCACCTGACTAATGGGCCTCGCGGCCAAGATTATTGTCTTGGGGCGAGCCCGCACAGCCTGACCTGCTCTCTCCCCCTCCCTACGCTCCGTACAATATTGCTCTGCCAAACCCATCGCATTGTCGTCGCCTAATGGATCAACCCTCGTGGTCGTTGCTTCCTCTTGGGCCATCTCTCTTGTGTGTCTGCGAATAGCTTCAGATGCGGGCATAATAAAATTCACAAAGTGTTGCAGGGGTGTATCACTAGCGACGAAGGAGTTTACACTTGAAATATTTTGGTTGTTTGCAAAAAGATACGTAAAATGGATAATACCAAAAGCCCAAGGTTTGCCTATATTCCAAGGGTCACAATTAAATTTCGCCAGTTTGAAAATTTTCAAAAATCCGCCAAAACTGTCTTTTCAACACCCTATAATGATCTATTGTTTCACTTCTTGCTCAACGCCTAACCTTCTCCACTACGAGATTCTGCCATGTGTACGACCACGATCCATTGTCCCTTTCCCCTTCCCTGTCTTTTCCACTTCACTTCAATACGTGCCCCACCGCTTCTCGAGCCCCGTGCCACACCAACCACCCTTCGCGGTCGGCCCTCCTCATGGTCGGTTCCTTCACTCAGCCACCCTTCATGCTCGGCCCTTCTCATGATCGGCCCCACCACTCGGTCACCTACGCGGTTGGCCTTCCTCACGGTCGGTCCCTCCACCCAATCACCCTTCGCGGTCGGCCCTCCTCATGGTCGGTCCCTTCACTCGACCACCTTTGGCGGTCGGCCCTCCTTATGGTCGGTCACCCCTCTTGGTCGGCCTTCACCCTGTCGGTCTCTCACAACTCTCATTTTCTTCATTATTCCCTTCGTTGGACTAAAGCTGCACTTGGAAATAGGGGACTACTGGCATGGGTAAGCCCATAAAGATTATAGCCCACCATTTAGGGCCCAATACATAACTCAAATACTAAAGCACAGCATTGCTGAAGCCCCATGTAGCAATAAGAACCAATGACATCAAGACACATGGCAAGAGAATGGCAAGCCATATAAGCAGACAAAGATCTGCAAAGTTATTGCCATTTCACATTGCCATTAATGAAGCCCCTTACAGCATTTATTGCGATAACCCCTCTCCGTCGGGACAGAACGCCTTCACCACGAACAAGGTAAGCAAGAGCATAGACTTTCAGCTAAGGTGACAGGTCGGAAAGGACAACGAAATGATTATCAGAGAATATAAGCAGAAGTCAAAGACAAGAAGAAGGTTAAGCTTTCTATCTCTAATCTATCTTTACATTCCACTTCTCTTTCTGACTTGCTCGTCGAAGGGTTCGCTGGAGGACTCCTCGTTTCCCGTTGAACTCTTGTGCAGGTCTTCTGGTGGGCTTGGTCACTCGGGCACCAGTTTGAGGAGCGTGGATCAGTCTGACCCGTTCCACCTGGAACACGCTATATCATCAAATGTTATATGCATTAGTTGGTATACTAATTAGTGTATTAACGGATAATATGGCATAATTTTAGAGATTTTGAGATTTTATAATTTACATAATGGATGGGGTCATAGTGTTGAAATGTCAACGTCATAACATATGTTAGTACACTAATTAGTATATCAATTGGTGTGTGTAGCAGCCCAGTCTAAAAAACATGAAATATATGAACATATTACAAAGCTAAACATGCCAGTTGATCTCTTGCTTGTTGCAAGGTAAAGCTCCTATGACATTTCCTTCTAACAAAACATTGAAACAGAAAGTAACATTTTGATAAGCAAAATTGGTATACAAGCTAATAAACTTAATAGTTTTTTCTTCCTCTCATAAATGGCAAGTGACAATGCTCATTAAAATAATTTAGTATGGGCAACTAAAAAAAGTTTGTAAAATTTATTAATTTGTAGAGAGTAATGTTATACAAACAAATATTTTTTACGAACTTAATTTGTATAACATTACTCTAGATAGAAAATGTTACCATTACTTTTTCTGATGTGATTAATAAATACAAAAACTGAAGAACAAGGATGGTCCCCTTAATTAAATATCAAAATTTCACCATCTTTTCACCTAGGAAAAAAATGGATGACAGAAAATTCTCTCCAAGTGCCTAAATAGTCATGGTGGTCTCTTTAGAACAACCCCTTGTTGTCCAATATCATTCACACCTGCACATCCTTAAGATTTCTTAAAATTTTCAATTAAAATAGTCACACCTAGGATGAGAAGAGATCAAGCAACAGCTCATTCACCAATGAATCAAAAACTTCAATCTCCAACTCCATGGCCACTTCATCTTTGTGTTCATCTTCATCCATCTTACTCCACTTTCCTCCCTTTTCCATCTCTCTCATATATGCTTGCCTGTTCTTTTGCACTTCCCACTCCACCAACATTTCTTGGGGCTGTCCAGTGACCCAATCGTCAATGACATTTAGCAGTTCAGACTCCAATTTCTCGTCATCACCCATTACTGTCATGGTATGTGATTGTCCTTCGGTGATTCTCTCTCTCAAGAAATCCAATAACAGATCATCTGCCATGAATTTGAAGCTGCTTGATGGAATAGTAAATTTTATTAGCTCAAGTAAGTCTAATGCTTTATGTTCTGCTTCATTTTCCTCGTCTTGGATAGAATCCGAGAGACAGGGCGAGGCAGGTTCACGGGATTCATCTTCGAATTCTGATGATGAGAACTGTTTTTCAAGGTCCAGTGGTTCCAGATCAAGTTGTTGACCAAGGTTCTCAAACTGGTGGATCTTATCCATGAGCTTTTGTTTTGTTCCTGTTGATCATCAAATGTAATTTTTTTTTTTTCCGTCAGTTGGAGCTAATAGTGAGAAATTAGTGCATATTGCTAGGAAAATTAGTTTCATATCAATTTAAGAGAGATATAGACCTTCGAGGCGGGCGAGCCTACGTTTGAAAGGCCATGAAACCTCCTCATCATCATCAAATGGAAAATCCAGTACAGATACTGGACTAAATTGTTCTTTCTCCTCCTCATTTGGCCATTTATTCTGTTCAAATAATTCACCATGCTAATTTAAGTTAGACAATCAGATACCCAAAAAAGGGAAAAGAAAAATAAATAAATAAATAAATAACAAAACAAAAGAGACAGTATAAGTTGACTACCATTAGTACAAAACTATGCTTCTAATATCAGACAAAATTAAGTTGAATTTTATAATATGCAGACAGATCATATACTGTCCCCATTTTGTCTTATTTTTCACATTGATACTTCATTAGCTTAAAAATTTGCGAGCAACAATGGTAGCACCATATTAGATAATTGCAGCACAAATTTGTCTTCTTTTTTTTATTTATTTATACTGAGCCGGGGCTTAACTTATTTTTTTTCTATTTTGCATATGAACCCTTACTCCAAACCATAAATTGGCTCCCAACTTAATTTTTTTTTTAGAAAAATAAAAAACAATTATTTATTTTCATTTACTCTGTCACTCCAATTTAAGATTTTTGACTCCATCCCAGTCTATTAGTGTCTACAAAATTTAACATAACAACTCAAACAATTACAAACTTAAGAATTTACTACTCCAATGGAGCATCAAATATGAGACGATTTACTAATTATATTTTACAAATTTATTGAAGAGTATCTACTGTGGATGATCTTAGAATAGTGTATATTGTTACTTAAATTTTTGGGCAAATTACATTTACCCCCTCGAGGTTTAGCTAAATTACAGATATCCCCTGAGGTTTAAGAAATTACAAATACCCCCTTGAGGTTTATATTTTCATAACAAATTAAGAGGCAATTTGTTTTGAAAATTTAAACATTATGGGGCAATTTGTTATGAAAACATAAACCTTAGGGGGTATTTATAATTTTTCAAACCTCAAGGGATATCTGTAATTTATCTAAATCTCGAGAGATATATATGTAATTTGTTCTAAATTTTTGATATATATATATATATCCTTGTCGGTGGGTTTGCTATTGTATAAAAACCAAAAAGGAGAAGAAAAAAAAAATTCTTGGCTCCGTTTAGGAAGATAAGTTGTGGGTTTTTTTTGACTATTTTAGCTATAAAAGACAAAATAAGCTATTTTAAGTACAACAAACAAAACATCACATACAACCCATAATCATTACAGTCTTTTTTTACAAAAAAAAGTCAAAAAAATCAAAAAAATCTTCCCAAACCAAAATTTTTAATCGAGACTAAAATAACCAAAAAACCAAAAAACCTACCCGCTCTCCAAACCAACACAAAATGATCTTAGCTTGGGCCAATGAAAAGCAAATCTGAAGACTAGTTTTGACTACTAAAGTCAACCGGCTGCTTGACAAGAGTATATTTTTGAAGCTTAAATAAATAATTTATTACTCATAGTAATATATATATATATATATAAGTTTGAAAAAATAATATAATAAGTTTAGAATGTAGCTTGACTTTATGATTTTTTTAGTTATTTAACTATTTTAATCTGGAATTGAAAAGTGTTATTTGAAATAAGCTTTTGGATTTTTTTGATTTTTATAAAGAAAAAAAAATGATTATAATTTAGATTTAATATTTTTTTATTATTTTTTTAATTTATTTTATCTTTTATAACTAAAATAATTAAAAATTTCATGTCAAACATCGCCTAAATTATTTGAAAATAAAATATATGATATAAATTTAAATTTAATTTGAATCGAGTCAATCGTCATATCCAAAATAAATTAGGTCAACTTATTTTCCGTATTTCTTTCCTACAACTTTTAAACAAATCAAAGTTATTGAAACTTAACAAAATACCGAGAATGCCCCCCAGAATCCTTAGTTAATTCACACCTAGGGTGTTTTGAAGAAGTTAGTAAAAATTAATTTTTAATTTTTTATAAAGCTTTTTAGCTTTTCAAAAAGTGATTTGAGAAGTTGATAATTTGAGAAGTTGATAAAAAATTAATTTTTACTTTTTAGTTTAATATTTGTTTATAGTGTCAAATCAAATTAAAATGATCAAAATATCCTTACTAAACATAAGAAATTTATTTTTTTATTTTTTTGTCATGGGTCCCAATTTATAATTTCACATTTGCATTTTTGACACTTCCCAAAACAATTTTGTTACGTTTTTGCTACTTGCATTTTTGGATATTTTGACAAAAACATTGCTTCATATTTTGGTTTCCAAAACCAGCAATGATTTAGATCACTAATTTTGGTGCTCTAATGGAGCACTAATGACATGGCAATGAATAAAAAAAATAAAATAAAAATAAATCAAGACCAAAATATCACATCACTGTGAGCTACCTTTAGAGCTCAAAAATTAGAGCTCCAAAGCATTTTTCTTCCAAAACGGCACATATTTATGAGTGGACCGAAAAGCACGAGGACTTTTCCGTAATTTACTGAAATAGTTTTAAATTAAGAAGGAGTAATCTAGTACTTCGTGCCCCAAGAACCTTAAATACTAGTAGCGATTCAATGCCGTGGATCCCGCAAATAGACACCACGTAGCGGAGTCATTGGCATCGGTTCTCTCAATCCTATTTTAATTTCGTAGCCCCGAGACGTACTCTATACTTCCCGAGATATACCCCACACGTGAACTCCCCCCAGCTGTAAATTATTTTCTCCAAAATACTCTAAACAAAAAAAAAAAAAAACTTTTAAGAAATTCATTTTGTCTACACCTCCCTCGCTAGTGGAAGTAGTAAAAGAAAACATGACAAATTATACATGTTGTCTTTATATTTTTATCGATGTCTTGATTTCTTAATTTTAATTGGATTGATTTTAAATTTTAAATTTGATTTTATTTTAATTCAATCTAATTAATTACAATTATTAGTATTTTTAATGAAAAATACACACATAAACAGTATATGTTATGATTTTATAAGTAAAATTATAAATTTATTCAATTCAATGAGTTAACCTCAACAAACTTAATGAAATTCCTTCAAAACCTTGATTTGGGTTATCAATTTGATGAGATTGATATAAAATTTAAAATTAAGAGTCAAAATTAAATTAATTAAAATTATAAAAACCAAAATGATACAAAAAACGAGACTACCAATATAATTTATCAAAAAAAAGGAAATATATTATATATGTGAAATTTTGATAAAATAATTACAAATTAATGAAAATATTTATAAATTTTAATAATCAAAATTATAAACATTTTTATGAATATGTGATTTTTTAAATTAAAAAAAAAATTGACATCCACTAGGTGTAATTAGCCGAAGAAAAAAAACGAACAAACAGCGAACAGTGTTAATGGAATCTTGACAAGTAAACAATTCAATCAAGGTTTGTTAAACAACAGACAAAGGGCAATATATAATAATGGGAAAAGTTAGGAATTATAAATTTTTTTTTATGAAAATGATAATAAAAAATTTATAATTCTTAAATTATCTTGATTAGTGTATGGTGTCTTATTCTAAATGTAATCAAGGTGACAAAATTTTTATGATTATTTTTATAAAAAAATTTTCATGACACCAACCATCGCTGGATAATAATAATGAGAAAAGATAGGGATCATGAAAAAATTTTCATGAAACTGATCATGAAAAATTTATGACTCTTAGATTACCTTGATTAGTGTGTGATGTTTTATTTTAAGTGTAATCCAAAGGTTATAAATATTTCATGATCATTTTCATGAAAGTTTTTCCATGATACCTAAAATTGCTCAATAATAATAGGTGCGAAGCATTAAACAAGAACTCTTACAGTGGAGTTGTTAGTTGCTGTTGTTGTTGTTGTTGCGGCTTCAATGGTAAAGCCACCGACTGTTACGCCTCCTCTCTTGCTGACCGCTTCTTCCGGTAAACGCCTCTTCTCTTCTACATCTACTACGATGTCATTGCCGCACGAACCTTCCGAAGAGCACACATCACTATCTGACCAGCTGTTACTTTCACTGTTACTCTCACTCATCGAACTGTTCGAGTCTGTGGCGGCGGTTACGGCGGTGGTGGCAGTTACGGCGGCGGAGAGATTTTCATTTTGTTCGAGAAAATGTTCGAACGATTTCCACAGTTCGATCTCCTTCTCAGTTTTCTTCCAGAAGCTTCTTTTCAGGAGCTTCCGCGAGAGGCTTCTCGGTAAAATTGAGTTCTTCGTTTTGCTCTGATTCGAAGGCGGTGACGACGAAGATGACTTTACGGCGGCGAACGGGAGGAGCTTGACTGCGTTGATCAGCACCTCTGACGCTCGCTGAAATGCCGACATTTTTGACGGGGACGAAGCGTTTGTTGATTTGCTCCTGAGATTACTTTTCCTGCGATTTGAATCTCTGCTTTTGAGATCAATTTCGAGCATGAATCGAACAGTTGTGCAGCATTGTGTTCTCGGATACGATCTGAAGCCGCTCGAAGAACAAGAGCTGAGATCGTCCAAGAGATAATCCTTCAGCATCAGAGGCTTCGGCAATGGCGCCTTTCTCAGCTTCGAATCCATTTTTGAAAATCTTCAAACCTGTAGAAAGTAGAAACACAATAAATTCAGAAGTAATGTGATTCAGTAACACAATGTAGTATAAAAGAGAAGGAAATAAAGAGCAATTAAGATAGGTTTCAGAGAATGCAGAGAGAGACAGATAAGCTGAAAAAGCTGATAAAAACATTTAAACAAAAAATAAAAAAGGCAGAAAGAAATTTAATAGCTTGAAAGCTTTTCATTAACTCTTCACCTTCTGAGATAGTTGTAGGAGCTCTCACAGCTTTATTTCTAGAGATAGAAAGTGGGGATTGAGAGAGAGAAAGAGTGAGTGGAAAGTGTGGAAGCAAAAGGGGGGGATTTAAAGGTGGGGTTGGGGAGAGTTGGAGGTGAAAGTGAGAGGTAGCTTCTGATGGAGAGGAGGAGGGTGAAGATCTCAAGGTGAAAAATATTTTTAAGAATTAAAAGAAGGCAGAGCATTGGCTATGGAGAGAAGAGCAAGAACTGATGAGATGAGTAAGCTATCAGAGAGAGTGATCAGAGAGGTAGAAGCTTGGATGCTTCTTCTAGTGTTTTTTGAATCTCAAGTTTGATTATTTTATTGCTTTGTTTTATTCGTATTTTGATTCCCATTTGAATTTAATATATATATATATATGTTTTAAATGATATGTCTAAGGAATCTCACGTACGTCCTTTGTTTTTCCAAATCTCCGCTGGTTAGTTCACAAAGTCAAGTAGTGACCCGTAGTTGACCTTTCCCAGCTAATTAAGGGTGGTTTGGGGGCTATCTTATTTTTTTTTATAAAAATATGTGTTAAAAAATAAAGAGTGATGTGATTTATATAAATATATTTATTTAAATAAGTGTACTTATTTAGAGGATGTCAAATAAATTTTTAAAGGTGGTTTGGAGTGATTTACATAAGGGTTTGTTTGGGAAGAAAAATTTTGTAGTTTTTTTTTTACTATTTTAGTCAAAAAAATAAAATAATAAAATATATTTTTTTAACAAAATATCACGTCTAACTCATAATTATTATATTTTTTTCTTACAAAAGTCAAAAAAATTAAAAAGTTCATCACAAACGAGATTTTTTAATCTCAAATTAAAATAGTCAAAAAGCCAACTCACATCTCAAACGAAGTATATTTTTTGATTTTTTATTATATAAAAATGTATTAAAAAGAAGAGAAGTGATATGACTTTAATAAATATGCTTATGCACTTATTTAGAAGATGCTAAACAAATCTTTAAAAGAAAAAAAAATCATATAGGCTCCGTTTGGAAAGATAGGTTGTGGGCTTTTTTGGCTATTTAAGCCATAAAAGAAAAAATAGGCTATTTTAATCACAACAAACAAAACATCACATTTAACCCATAATCATTACACTCTTCTCTCACAAAAAAAGTAAAAAAAGTCAAAAAGTCCTTCCCAAACTAAACTTTTTAGTCCAAAATAAAATAATTAAAAAAATCAAAAAATTAAAAAGTCAACCCGCTTCCCAAACCAATCCTGAGAGACTGATATTCTAATCTTTACTTTTTTTTTTGGGTGTAGTAAATGGATGATTAATGCTTCCTACCCCCACTGGGGGTCGACCCCCAGTGAGATGTCGGCCTCGGATTGGTCCAAAAAAAAAAATTATTTTTTTTTTCTTTTTTTTAAAGTTTTCAGCCAGTGGGGGCGCGCCACATCACTGGGCATGTATAAAAAGGACTCTGTTTGCACGTTCGGGTGTAGTAAATGGATGATTAATGCTTCCTACCCCCACTGGGGTCGACCCCAGTGAGATATCGGCCTCGGATTGGTTCAAAAAAAAAATTTATTATTATTATTTTTTTAAAGTTTTCAGCCAGTGGGGACGCGCCACGTCACTGGGGCGCGACCCCCATTGGGGGTGTGCAGCGCGGTTGTAAATGGATTGAGTCCTATTGTGATTTTGAAGTACAGAAATGCCTCATACACCCACTGGGGGTCGACCCCCAGTGAGGTGGCACTCCATCATTTGACAAAAAAAAAACTGTTTTTTTTTTTTTTTGAATTTCGGCCAGTGGGGGCGCGACACCTCACTGGGGTGCGACCCCCACTGGGGTATGCATCAGTGTTGTTTGAAGTAATGCTTTGATTTAATAGAGTCATCTTTGCTCTCTGTAGGCCTGTTTGTGTCTTTCATTCATTCACTCCATTCATTTTTTGTTTTCTTTTTTTGACAATCAGTAGAGAATAACTTACCAAATAAAAAAAAAAAGTTATATTACACAACAGATAAGATTCAAATTCAGATAACTCATGCATTGGCCAACTCTTGGTCTTGTTTGTGCGCTTCATTGGGAGGAAGATTTATGAATTAAGGCATTGTGAATTAAGGCATTGTTTGATTGTAGAATTAGGTGGGGATAAGAGTTAGTTATGGCCAAATGTGGATAGATCTCATAAGAAATTCTATCCAACAATAAGCCAAAATCGTTGGCAAAAAATGATAAAATTAAATTTTGTATCAAATTTGGTTGGTGATTTGACAAAGTCATTATTCCTTGCCTTTTCCCACCAAAAGTGCATCCGTTTTTTTCTTTTCATAAATCCTAAAACTAGAGAAAAATTCAGAAATTACAAATTTGAATAATATTAAAAATTTCTGAGTAGTTCTTGAAGTATTATTAGATAATAATAAAACTTTGCGCAGACAATAAAAGCTGAAGTTTGCACAAATTCTTGAAAAGGCTTTGATTTTGAACTTTTGGCAATAATTAGACAAATCAAAGCATTGTTGAATGGAAAAATACTTATCATGTTTTCAATAAACTATTTTATTTTTTTATAAATTTTTCAAAATTTCAAAAATTCCTAAATAAACTAAAACATAATCAGAAAAAAAAAAAAAATCAAAGAATGATTGGCCTGAACTTGATCAAATATAAAAGCTAGTTGGATTTAACTTGATTGTGTCAAAATGATAAGTCATCATTGAAGTAGTACATTTGGAAATAACATTTTTTTTTTTCATTGAAGCAAGTCAAAAAATAATTTTGGCAAAATTATTTTTGCTTGGATCATTGGAGTTGCTCTAATAAAAATGTCATTAAAGTTGACAAATTTTTGTAGGCAAACGATATATAAGTCCATTTTCTAAATCCAATTACGTGTAAATGAAATGATTGGTTGATAATTAAAAAATACGCGTGAGAGAGAGAGAGAGAGAGTTGCCTTATATTCATTATGTTGTGTTTGGTTGAGGGATTTGGAAAGGGAAGTAGAAAAGATAGAAGAAATATGAATAAAATATACTTTTATTTCACTTATTTTCACACACCTTTTCCCTTTTCTTTCCAAATCCCTTCTCAAATCCTCCAACCAAACACAGCGTAAGGCAATGTTATATCATTGAATTTGAAAAAAAAAGTCTAATTAGCATTACCTATTTTGGTATTGTTAAATTTTGATACAAAATTTTGTAAATTGTTAATTTTTGATATTGTTATCAATATTTTATAGAAAACTAATGACAATTGGCAAGATAAATTGATGGTTGTTCTAAGAAATAATACAACATTTAGGGTATTTGTTGTCACATTTTTATACTATAAATATAATAAAAATTTAGCACTAAGATGTAAAATTTGACATTTTCTCGGGGGATGATGCTCTAATGTATATGATGACAGTAAAATGTCAAATCAGAATGAGAGATACATATAATTGAGGAAATAATTTGAAAATGTGTTGGTGGTCCTTGCTCTAGTTTTGCTTTGTTTTTGTTTTTGTTTTCCGGTTTTGATTTTGAATTTGACTGGGCATGAAATAAGTGCACGCGTGGTCAGCCATGAATGGTGGCTGTTTGTTTCCACCTGCATCTGACGAGTAGGCTGAACGATGGACATTTATATAACAAAAATGCTAGAAGTCTCAAAAATTCTATTAAAAATTTTATCAAATGTCTTACATGGGTGTGGGACCCACATGTGAGTCCTACACTCATGTGAGACATTTGGTAAAACTTTTAATAGAATATTTGGGGTCTCTAGCATTACTCTTTATATAATAGTTTCAGATTAACATGTAGCCATATTTTTTTTTATCAATTATTATTTAGGAGCAGTTTGGTGGCAAGTTAAAAAAGTTAATTTTTTTGATTTTCTAGTTATAAAAATTATTAAAAAAAAGTTAAAAAGTTAACTTTTTATCAACTTTTCAAAATATCACTTATTATATTTTTTAATTATTTAATATAAATATTCAGTATTTCACTTTCTTTATCAAACATAATACTATGAAGTATCATGTGACTGTATTTCGCGACTACCTAATAATCACCTGTTGAATGACATCATCTTTCTAACAGATATAATGAAAAAATTTTATTTCATCATTTAAGAATTATCAAATAATCAGGTGGAGTACAATTTACATTTACAATTTACATTAACATTAACAGATATAATGAAAAAAATTTATTTCATCATTTAAGAATTATCAAATAATCATAACAATTTATTATTATTTTGAATTTAAAAATAATCATTTTTTAATAACTAGGTGTCCAAGATAATCACTATAAGGGGTGAGTTTCTCTCCATACCTTTATCTATCCATATCTATCCATACTTTTCTTGTTGGTCTCAATTCGAACTCATATCGATGATCTGAATTGTCTACTTTATAGGCATTGCAATAAAGGTCATCTATACAAATAATCAGTTTCATCGGGTATCCACAAACACATAAACAAGTAACATTTTGTTTTATAAAATAAACATAAAATATGATTGTAAATTTAAACCATCTATTTATAAAACAAAATGAAATTTGTTTCCATGTTTATAGTATCCAATGACGCTAATTTTTTTTTGTAGAGGTAACCTTTATTGTGAGACTAACGGCGTAGATAGTTCAGATCATTTGTGTGTGACTAGGTTAGAGCATCTCCAACGGTGTACCAAACCTGGTATCAGATTTAAATTTTGGTGAAAAAATCACTTTTTGGAGCTCCAATGGTTTCAGCAAATTGATATCAAAATAAGAATTCACCAAAAAATTCATCAAAGTGAGAACAGGGTACAGATTTCACTACTTTACTGTGCGTGACTGTTGGAGGAGACCAACCGGTCGACCGGTTCCCTTTCAAATAGGTAGGTTCAAACCGGTCAAAAAGGTTCAAACAGGTAAAAAAAAATAAAAACAAAAATAAAAATTTTGCCTTACCGGTTGACTGACCGGTCGACCCTCCCTTTTTGATGCACGGTTGGAGGAAGAAATATCAGATTGAGAAAATTAGCTTTTTTTTACTCAAATTTGGTGAAAAAATTGGTTCACCGTCGAAGATGGTCTTAGAGCACACAAAAAAAAAAAATATTAGGAGATATGAAGAGATAAAGTACAGAAAAGAGGTTATCTATCATTTTATAAACTTTTGAATAATGTGATAAAGATCATTTGTTACAATTTTAAAATGGCACTCAGGTCATAAGTTAATTTCTAAATCTCTTAGACCATTAGACTCAAGTTCTAATTTCTTTGGGCTAAAAGAATAACTATTTGTTGAAATTAACATATATGTTTATGTATTGAAATCAACT